CACACACACACACACACACACACACACACACACACACACACACACACAGTGCCTCTGTAGCATATTAACAGGCCTATCAGTGTTTGCGTCGGCATCTGCTGCTTTGACACAAATTGGGAATTAACTGGAATTGATGTCCTGTGTCTCGCCTCTGAACTATCGTGGCCTGATGAAGAATTTATGATGTGTGTGTGTGTGTGTGCGTGTGTGTGTGTGTGTGTGTCGCAAACACAACACAAACCATGAAGAAAATAAAGCAGTTGTAAATTAGCTTTCATCTTTTCTCCGGCAGGTTTTGGCAACATATTGTCATTTTTTTCATTCCACATTCCCAAGGTCACACTGAATGAAGTGTGTGTCTGTGTGTGTCTGTGTGTGTGTATGTGTGTGAGATACTGAAACACAAAGCAGAAACATTTACCAGGATTRTGTTTTAATACATTAGAGGTAAATGTGTAGCTTTATTAAGAAACGTGTATTTTATTTAATTAGTGATGAAGACTGTTGAGGATGAAGGTCTCTCTGGTTGTGAATCCAGTTGTTTTGTTCTGCTTTAAGTCTGGGATCATGTCTGCTGAAACGTGAAGGTTGTCCAGTGGGAGGAAAGCAGCTGAAGTAAAGTCCAGTTTCCTGGCAGCAGTCGCCTCTAAAACCAGTTAGTTACATGTAAAATGCAGGAATGACGGCGGGCCGATCCCCTCACTGGCCTTCACCTGCCTCTGCACATAATGATGTGTCAGTCAGTGTGCCAGGAGGACACGATGAAATGAAAACAAGACGTTTATCCAGCTGTGGTCTGAGCTGAGCAGACTCTGGAGTTTCTTCTTCATGTTCATGATGTTGAACACATTTCTGCTCAGACTCAGAGGCTTCTTCTGAGACAGAACCTCTCAGTTTGTGTCTAAATGACGTTTGGTTTGTTTCGGGTGAATTTCACGGCTCTGCAGGAGGCCGAGCTGCAGGAATTATCATGTGATCCATGGACACCTGCAGAAAAACATCATGACTCAGTGCAGAAACATCTGCATCTTCAGGAAAACAAGGAAAGAACTAAATGTAGTTTAATGATTCGCTCTGCTTCACGTTTTGTTTTTGYTGTTTAAAAGCAGTAAATGAATAAATGAGCAGTAAAACTGGAGCAGGTATATGTTCAGGACTCAAATCAGATTATTGTTCACAGACTGAGAGCTGCTTGAAAATCAAAGCAGATTAAACCTGATGCCACCTCCTAAATATGTGTATTAATTGAATTTGCTCCCATCAGCTGATGCTTCTGATGCTCATTTTCTCTTTAGCTGCAACATTGGCAGAAATGACAGGAGTCAAAGTGTAATGATTGTGTTGTCCTTCAGCAGTTCAGCCATGAATATACAACATCTCTGCTATCGATCTGCACATTTCTAAATATAGCTGATGAATGGTCGTGTAGCTATTGATGGATCTGCTGCTTTACATGATGGACYATTGACACAACAATCCTCCAATAACTCTGCTCCTTTCAGACGGTTCTGTCGGGCCGACGGGCTCCGGCTTCCTCGGAGCAGAAGGCCCGTCTGATGGTGGGGGGTCAGGRCGCCGCTGCTGAAGACCCCCGCTCGGTCCTGTCCCCTCTAACCAACTCACTGCTGGAGCAGCTGGAGGCTCGGATCAAGGAGCTGAAGGCCTGGCTGCGAGACACGGAGCTCCTCATCTTCAACTCCTGCCTCAGACAGAAGGACGCCTCCCTGCAGCTGCCCAGCTTCAAGGTAGGACCAGGACCAGGACCAGGACCAGGACCAGGACCAGAGGCAGGCAGACCTGGTCCAGTTAGAAGACATCATTTAACAACACTGACATTAGAAAACCAAACAAAGGAGCAGTTTGTCTTTGAGTAGTTTTAATTRTAGTTTCTGTTTCTGCACCACGTTAGGCCTCTAACCTCAGACCTTCCTCCAGACTCACGTTTAAAGTCTGAAATATAAACTGCTCAAAGTGTTGCTTTTGTTTAAATCAACCAGATATTTGAAAAAACAAACGAATATTAGTTGTATAATATAATATAATATAATATNGTTCTCTTCCACGGTTAGAATGACCTGTCATGGCCTAAATAGAGCTCAGTTTGTGACAGAGTTCCTGTCCTCTCGTCAGGCCTGTCCGAGGCAGTAAATCTTGTTTCTTCACTCCAGGTGACCCCTACAACAGTTCTTCTGTGGGAGCATTTTAAACAGACTCATATATAGTAAGTATTTGAACACCCTGCAACTTTGCAAGTTCTCCTACTTAGAAATCATGGAGGGGTCTCATTTTCCTGCATACAGGTCAAAGGTTTCCATGCAGAATGGGCAAAGCTGGTGGAGACAGACCCTCAAAGACTTGTAACTGATATAATATAATACAATATAATACAATATAAATGACTTTCTTTATTAAACCAATAAGTAGTTTTAATTTTTGAGTCAACTTGTTGATTCTAACTCAGATTTTCATGACAAATCTCATCGAGCTGCAGAGTAATAATGATTAAAACATCCTGTTCTGAAGTCAGTTCTGAGTCTGGGTAATAAAACAAAGTTTATGAGCCGTGTACTAAAACATGTCGGATCTTTCAAACCAACTTTCAGATTTCAGACAGAAAATCTGTCCCAGCTCTCTGACACTCAGCCTTTATTCTGTTACTTCTGTGAGGRCAGGTAAATAACTGCAGGTTAACCACTTTAACTAACCTGATAAGGTTTTAAAAACTCTCCTAACTAGTAGTTTTCTTTGTACTCCGGCACAGAAGCTCAGATCAGTGAGATATTAGCTGATGTTTTTACAGCTAGTCGCAGCTGAAACGCGTTTGGAGTTTCAAAATAAAAGCTGCAGTAAACACGTTGTTAGTTAAAGGTTCAAGTTCTCGGTAAGTTTTCTTTACTGAGCTGCCGTGCAGGAAAAGTTTATCCAATCAAGTACTTCTGTGTACTTGTATATGTGTTGTTACTAAGTATAGTAGTGCGTGATGGAAATGAGGCCAGATGAAAGCAGGACGTTTGGATGTATAGAAGGAAACAGCAGTTTGCCTTAAAATCCACAGGATGTTAACAGGATATTAATCAGCACACATCACACAGAGAACAGCTAGCTGCACTGATTAGCCTAGCCCTGCCGTGTGACTGACACTGACACACACACACACACACACACACACACACACACACACACACACACACAGGTGGGTGTAGCGAGGGGGTTTGTTGCAGTCTTCTTTGTGTCTGTAAACTCAGTCAGGCTGTTGGGAAAACAGAAAGCCCAAAGCTCAGACTGTCACACACACACACACACACACACACACACACACACACACACACACAC